GAAGTTGTGCCTGTTTCGCCATGCCAGGTAATCGGTCTAGTTCAGCTGTCCTACTAGAACTGTATGGGCGAGGGGGGTCAACTGAGAAGCGTGAGAAGCACAAGATTCGGATCGACAGCACAAGTATACGTACGTTTGACAAGTCGCACCGAGCAGGCCTCCTAGCTGGCGAAATGAGCTGCCACTTGACGAGTCGAAAGGCGTGGCGGTCGCACGCCATTTGGACCCGCAGAGATTGAGAACGATGGGGGCCTTGGGTGCTGAGCTGAGTTTGAAAGGGGGGGGGGGAGGCCAGAGGCGAGGGGAGGCTGAGTATAACACAGTACAGGCGGACAGAAACGCACGAAAATTATTCCCCTACTCGGACGGTGAATGGGGATCGGTAGAAGAGGATGACCCTTTCCGAGTAGAAATGTGAAAAGAGAAATACTGGTGACGCGTGGTGCCTTCTTTTTTCTGAGGAGACAGAGGTGTCAGCACACTATTTCTAGTGTGCCACGCAAGGTTCTCGGTTTCGGCAAAAAAGAGCATGAACGTCAAGCGTGAATAACTCTCCATATGCAGCTTTTGCGAGAGATTGTTCCATTGAATTTTCGAGTATTTTGTGCACGGATGGGGACCTCGTTGGATTATCCGACGGCCAATAGGCGCATACGGCACAAAAAGGCTAATACTTTTGAGATCAAAATCGCGATGACAGAGACTGGACGGTGTGCTAACTATTTAAGGAGAGGGCTCAGGGAGAAGGTTATCGTACGCGGTGCAGGGTGCAAAAAGGAAGCTCGATTACAGTTAACTCTGATTATAGACAATTTGAGGTAGCCTATCCGAATAAGTATATAGAATCTGCCAACCCAAACAACGGCTATTGGCATTGCCGGCTGCAATAATCATTCAGACGACACAGAATAGACGCACTTCAAGTCAGTTTTCGATAATTTAAATCTCGTGAGCGCGTACCACGCACGGGAGCAGAGATCAGGGAGGAGGGGCAGCTCAGGCCTGAAGTTACCACAGCTTTTAAAATTAATTTACTCTTCAGTAAGATAAGCTTCTGAATCAGTGTTGGACGACTGAAAAGCCCAAAAGCGCCCAGGATAACTCCGTAATTGACTGTCCCCCCCCCCATGAGCTCAACGCACCATTCGACAGCCAGAGGCCCACCATACTGGACCAGCATCGAGACCACTCGGCGCTGGAGCACTCGTACTTGCGGTCTCTGATCGATTTAGAGGTGAGCAGAAGGACGAGCTTGCCTTTTAGACGTGCGAGTAGCCTGTTTATGTTCCGAATCGGGTGATATGCTTGTTTTGGTTATGCAGTTATTTTTTATGGTTTAATTTTATTGTCGGTTTTTTCGTCATTATCCACCGCATCTTTCCGTTCGTCAATACTAATCACCGCCGACGACCCAAAAGGCCCATACAACACCAATTCGACAAATTGCCGGGTAAAATGTCTGTCTTGCGCCTGTTTCTTTGCAATTAATACTATAACCGTGTGAGCATCACCATCTCATCACTTTTTAGCTATGACAGACACGTTTACTTGTATTCCTAATTCCTCCAGAGGCCCCTCCCCTTGGACCCCTTTTCTCCAAATTCAGTCCTCTAGTAGTCCATTAAAACCTCTCTCCCCTCCTCTGTCGTGACTTTCCGTTCCCCTTCGTCACCCTTTTGCTCGTCTGATCAATTCACGTCCAACGGTCACGGACCCAGCCGAGCGCGAGCGAGCTCCAGTCGTCCACACAATACTTATTAGCCTCCAGCCGACCGTTCTCTCTACCTGGTCCCTTTTGCCCCTTTTCTTCTCTACCCTCTCTCTATTACTTATATCTCCTCCCCGACGCCTCCTTCTTGCTCTCTCTCTCTCTCCCTCTCTCACCCTCTCTCCCACTTGACATCCAACGCCATATACCATCCCCGCAATGTCACAATACGGCTATATCATGGCACATCCTCCCGCCCACTACACCCATCCACGGCTGCGTAAGTTTGAGACCGATTCTTACAGTGTACTGCAGTGACCAAGGCCATGCGGCTGACCTGCATATGGCAGAAATTCGAACCGCCCAAGACGCACATCGAGTATTTGAAGCAGTCCGACAAGGCATCTTACCTCTTATTCGACGACGCTTGTCTCCTTCCGAGCGTGATCTGCTCGCGTCGGGTCAAGTGTTTGTCTGGGAGGAGGCACCCACCGGTGCCGCCGCAGGAGACGAGATCAGCCAAACCACCAGTGGCCTGGAGAGATGGACAGACGGTAGACGATGGTGAGCGCATTTACCCTGATCGAATATTCCCATTGTCGTACAAAAAGAGGTCTGACCTTCACCGTCTCGCCCTAGGTCCCAGTCACGCATGCGTGAACCATTCTTATTCTATGAAGAAAAGGTGCAAACCACTGCTGAAGAAAGACAGGCCAAAGCAGATCGACGAGCGCGCAAAGCCTCCTCCTCCGACTCTCAATCCCTCCCTGGTCACCTTTTGCCCATTCGACGACAAGACAGACCCAGTAAACCCGATGGTCTAACGAAACAAACCTATTCCTGTCAGTGCTTCTCACGTATACCTCCACCTAAGGATTCTCAACTGACGAAATTTCTCCTGTTGTTGCTCTTACCCATGCCACCCTTGCTCTCCACCATAACATTTATCTTATGCATTCCCGCGGACCTGCACCCCTTTACTACGACTACTCTTCTCCCATTCTCCAATTCATGAACCAATCAACGACGCCTAATCCTTGGACGTACCCGTTTGGCGACGGATTTATGCTTACCTACTCCACGCACGCTCCTCGTGAAAACACCGACCAATCCGGAAACTGGACACGGTTCATCTCCCCCAAATAAACCTTATTGCCACTTCGCTTATGATCCCCCCGAACTTTTCCGGTGGCCTTGTTATGTACACGGGCTGGTGAATGGTCGACAAACCTCGGGGAAACTCATATTCACATTTTTTCGTCCACTCTGCTTGCTCGGAATCGACTGGGAAAATATTGCACTTACACTGTTAACTGTACGGCACCCGGTCCGCGCCCAACCCTCGCTGTGCAACGTATCCATGAACTCGCGATGGGACTGGTATACACAATCACTGATGAAACCGACCCTCTCACATTCCCACTCGATCTGATCTACTGACCTCGATATTTCCGTCGTTCGCATGGCTAAAACACCCTCCCTCCTCTCATCCACTCGTCTCTATTTCCTCGCTTCTTCCCTGTGCGCGCTGGCGGATAT